TATCATGTTAATGAATAATCATGTTCTACCGCATACATATTAAAGAGCTTTGTAGGGGGATTGAAACCAGTTGTTAAGCCTTTTTTTAAAGCTTTCAAGCCTTCAACTATTGCTCAAGCTCTGGAATATGCTAGACTACAGGAGGAGTCATTGACTTTTGTTGCTCTGAGAAATAAATCTTCCAAATTCACTTCTCAATCTTTGCCTGCCAGTTTTTTACCACCTTTGCTGCCCACACCACAAATGAAACCATCTTTTTCTTTACCTCAATATTCTCACACCTCTTAAAACTACAAACACATTCCAGCAGATGTTAGAGTTGATAAGACTGCCAAAGGCCTGTGTTATTATTGTGATCTGCCTTATAATAGAGAACATAGGTGTCAATTTAAGATTCCACAACTTTTCTCAGTTGAGATTCGTAGTGAGTGTGATACAGGAGAAAAGGATGACATGGTGTTAAAATTGGAAGTTCAATCTAAACCTCAGATTTCTGTCAATGCTCTGGCAGGGAGTCAGTCTTTCCAGACTATGAGAGTGAAAGGGGTAGTGAATGGTAAGGATTTCATATCCTTATTGATTCTGGTAGCACCCATAATTTTGTGGATGTCAATATAGCAACTAAGCTAGGGTGTAAGTTGGATCAGATTCACTTTCAAGCTGTTTCAGTTGCTGATGGGAATCATATCCCTTGTTAGTCTATGTGTACGGGTTTTGCTTGGGAAATGCAGGGACATCAATGTAATGCTGATGTTTTGTTAATTCCTTTGGGGAGTTGTGATATGGTTCTAGGAATTCAATGGTTGAGGCTATTAGGTCTTATATATTGGGATTTTCAAAAGTTGAATATGTAATTCAACCTTGGGGGTAAAAAGTTTATTTTGAGGGGTATTCCCTCTAAGAAGCTTTCAGTGGTGGAGGGTAATCCTATAGACAAACTTTTTGATTGAGCAGTTCAGTTATGCCTTTTGCAAGTGTTGGAAATGAGCTGTTGTAGACACCCAAATGTGTCTCCCTAAAACCAAACCAGTGATGAATACCTTTCATTTCGTTTGATTATCAAACGAGGCGAAAGTGTGAAAAGTCTAGTGATGAGGATGTTTTTATTAAAGTATCTCTTCTTTCTGTTTTTGAAAATATTTCTTTTCTTACCCTATTTATGAAAAACATGCATTCTAGTTTAGTTTGGTCCGTGATATGGGTCTAATAATAGTGTAGTTGGATGGGGCTTGAGAAGACCTTTCCAACGATACATTATAAGCCCAATTCCGATGAATATGAGGAAGTTATGGCCAAAATACTAACTGGGCCCAAACCGGTTTTTACCTACGGCCCAATGATAATGTGGAGGGTCCAAAGGTCTAATCCTATTCCTAAACTAATTAGGATTATTTAGGAGCTTCTATAAGTTTCTAAAAGATCTTAATTATCCTTTTTGAAAAGATAAGATTAAAGAATTTGAGTTCAATGAAAACTTTCGTTTTATAAAAACTTTCCCTTTTTTAAATCCTAATTCTATTCGAATTTAAAGATGTTCAAAGACAGTCAGATATTATTTTCGTGCCTCATAATCTTTATCCAAATTTTATATGGTTGGATAGGTATTGAAATTATCTTTCCAATGATATATTATAATATTAAATTTGAGCTATAACAAAAGAGATATGAATGGAATATGAAACTCTATCCAAAACTGACACCCTTCCACTATTTCGGCCATATTTTTTATCTACAAAATATTTTAATCTGATTTTAATTGGGTTGGAAAGTAGACTTCAAGATCTTTCCAACAACATATCATATGCCTTATTTTGACTTCTAGATCAAAAGATATGATAAAAAAACAAAATCCGTAAAAAACTGTTGTCCATCGAGTTTTATTTCGATTCGAATTCGGATTCTTTTCTTTATTTTTCGACTCTCTTTTTTCCTATAAATAGAGGTCATATCTCCTTTTTTTCAATCGTCAACTCTCATCAACAATTTCTTGATATTTTCTCTCTCTTTCAAAACCATCCCTTTCTACAAACAAATTTCCGCATTCACAAGATCTAGACACACCTAGCCAAGTTCGAAGTTGCCTTCGCCCTAGACGTGAAAGGTTTGATATTTCTGAGGGTTTGGTCCTAAATCTCAATTTCAATTATTTAATTTAATTGTTTGTTTTTATATTTTTCTTGAAGTTACTAACGTGTGTATTTTGTTATTAGCAAGAGATACGAGGATTCAAGTAAGTAATTTAATTACTTTATTAATATTTTGGTATAGAAATCATGCTTAGATTATTTTATTGATTCCTATTATCATGTTAGAATGTTTTATTGCTTCGTAGTATCATGTTTAGGGTTAACTAAAATTTCTAATATCAAGTATGATTAAAAGAATACTTCTTATTTTCTTTCTTAATAGCATGTTAATATCATGTTAGGGTTAAAGACTTGATTTTTATGTTTAGTAACATGCTAGAGTTTGTTATTAATCTTGTTAGTATCATGCCTAGGATCTTGCTATTATTATGATTTAACATGATTATGATTATTTTTATGAATTATGATTATAATTGTTATAATTTTTGTGATAATGATTATTTTTATTATGATTATTATTATTATATTGCTTGATATTATTTATTGTTATTGCCTGATCACGCCTTTTATGCATATTTAAAGGGAATTGGTACTTGAAATCACGCTTAATAAGATAATTAATAATCTTGTTTAGGGTAATATGATTATAATTCAAGTTATCGTCAATAATAGATTTATTTGTGCATTAATATTCAACCAACATAGATTAAACAGGTTTAGGGTAAACCTATTGATTGTATGTTAGTCAGAAAGTGCACATGAATACGAGAAGAATAAAGTAGAGGCCTATTATTAGGGCAGGTTCTTTCTCTTTTAGATTGGATTTGTACCTTCATCCCCGAACTTCCAGTTTTGGTTCAAGACCTATTGGAGTTAACGATCTCCTGGATCGTTAAGGGGTGTAACCTTCATGTGAACGGTTTATAAGTTCCTAAAACTTGTTGGCGACTCTTTTGCTCTAGCTTCTTTCCCTTTGGACGCCACCATGCTTAAGTGTATGATCACAGTGGGGTTCAAGTTTGGGGTAATGCTTGAAATATTCCCTACAGCTGTGCCTTGGAATAGGACAATCATAGTCCGCCTCATTTTGCAGAATTTGATGTTCTTAAGCAGCAATTCAACATGGTATTTCAGGAACCAACTGGTTTACCCCCTGAGAGAGGAGTCTTTAACCACTCTATACCCCTACTTTCTGGTCCAGTGAATATCAGGCCATATAGTTACCATCTAAAACAAAGGGATGTTATTGAGCAGTTGGTACAGGAGATGTTGGATAGAGGAATTATAAAAAATAGCTCTAGCACTTTTGTATCACCTGTGGTTCTTGTAGGGAAGAAGGATGGTACTTGGAGGTTGTGTGTGGACTATAGGGAGTTGAATAATAGGACTGTTAAAAATAATTTTCCAATTCCAGTGATAGATGAATTAATTAATGAGTTAGCTTGAGCTAAGGTTTTCAGCAAGTTGGATTAGAGGGCTTGATACCATCAAATAAGAGTAAATGCTAATGATGTGTTCAAAACAACATTCAAGACTCACACTATGAGTTCTTAGTCATGCCTTTTGGTCTGACTAACGCCCCTGCTTCTTTTCAAGGGTGGATGAACCATGTGTTTAGGCCACTTTTAAGGAAGTGTGTGTTAGTATTTTTTGATGACATACTAGTTTATAGCAGATCCTTGAAGGATCACTGGCAACATCTAGCTGAGGTGTTTTCTCTGATGAAAGATAACTGCATGTTTGTGAAGGAAAACAAATTTATTTTTGCAACAAATAAGGTGGATTATTACTGAGTTTGGTGTGGAGACTGATCCCAAGACGGTTGCTGCAGTCAGTAGTTGTCCAGTCCCATCTAATGTGAAAGAACATAGAAGCTTCCTGGGCTTGACAGGTTATTTTAGGAAGTTTGTGAAGGGATATGTAGTGATAAGTAAACCTTTTACACACCAGCTGAAGAAGAATGGTTATAATTAGAATGATGAAGCACAACAAGCCTTTGAATTACTTAAGTCTGCCTTGATTTCAACACCAGTTTTGGCCATTCCAGATTTTGGCAAGCAGATTATCTTAGAGACTGATGCATCTAAGACTGGTATAGGGCTTGTATTAATGCAGGAAGGGCATCCATTAGCATATATCAGCAGGGCATTGGGTCCAAAGTGGCAGAAGCTTTCTGTGTATGATAAGGAGTTGTTGGCTAAGTCTTTGTTGTCTAGAAATGGGAACAATATCTGGTAGAGGGGCATTTTGTTATCAAGACAGATTAGAAAAGTTTAAAATGGCTATTGCCGTAGAAGATTTCTACTCCATTTCACCAGTTTTGGTTATCAAAGCTAATGGGCTTTGACTATGAGATACAGTACAAATGTGGGAGGGAAAATGTGGCAACAGATGCCTTATCAAGGCATCAAGGTTATGAGATTCTATGTATGACAGTTACAGTATTGGATTCCAATTTGGGAACCTTAATTGCTGCTAATTACCAGTTAAATGACAATTATTCTGCAATCATACAAGCTTTGCAATCTGGAAACTTGGTTGTAGGATTCCAGTAGGATGGCACTCTCTTAAGAAGAAAGGGCAAAATTATAGTGGGTCCTGATGACCAACTGGGGAATAAAATTTTGTCTTAGCATCATGAATCTCCAGAGAGTGGTCATGGTGGAAGGGAGTTAACCTTGAGAAGGGTTAAGAGGTTGTTCTACTAGAGGGGACTCACAAGAGATGTCAGTGCATTTGTGAGGAAGTGCACAGTGTGTCAGGCTGCTAAGTATGATACTTTAGCATATCGTGGTCATTTACAGCCTCTCCCTATTCATGAGGAGATTGGCTTGACAATTCTATGGATTTTATCACAGGGCTTCCTAAATCAGTTGGGAAAGAGGTGATATTTGTGGTGGTGGACAGGTTGAGCAAATATGCTCATTTCATGGCATTATCTCACCCTTTTACAACATTGCAAGTAGCTCAATGTGACTTGGATAATTTCTTTAAGTTACATGGGTGGCCAAGGTCCATAGTCAGTGATAGGGACTCTGTGTTCTTGAGTCAATTCTGGAAGGGGTTATTCACTCTACATGGGATTGAGCTACTTTTGTCTACTGCCTATCATCCTCAGACTGATGGTCAGACAGAGGTGGTAAATAGGTGCTTGGAAGCATACCTCTGGTGCATGACAGGAGATCAACCCCAGGAATGTCATAAATAGTTGTCTCTAACAGAGTGGTGGTACAATACCCATTTTCACACTGCTATACAATTGACTCCCTATGAGGTTGTTTACAACCAACCCCACCTTTACTCTTGCCATATTTGGCTGGTGAGGTTAAGAATGATGAGCTGGATAGGAGCTTGCAAAGAAGGGAAAGGATGATTGCAGATTTGAAGTTCCATTTGGAGAGAGCTCAAAGCAGGATGAAGAGTCAGGCTGACAAGCATAGGTCTGAAAGGTCATTTGAAGTAGGTGATTGGGTTTGGTTAAAATTCCAATCCTATAGGTAGCATTCAATACATAGGAGTAATCAGAAGCTGTCTTATCAGTTCTATGGGCCATTTCAGGTAGCTGTTGTGATTGGTAAAATGGCTTACAAGCTAAACTTGCCAGCAGCAACCAAGATACATGATGTGTTTCATGTATCTCAACTCAAGATTTTTCGAGGAAAACTGCCTTTGGTCTCTTATATCCCTCCTGTGTTTCAAGGGTTTGAAATTGGGACTGATAGATTTCAGCGTGCTGCAAGTTTGGACAGGAAAATGGTGAAGTTTCAGAATCAAGCTCAGGTACACTATTTGGTTCAATGGGAAGGTTTTCCTGCTTTTAAGGCTACTTGGGAGCCTGCTGAACATTATGAGAAGATGTTTCCTGACTTTGTAATTGCTTAGACTTGAGGACAAGTCTTTTAAAGGGGGAAAGCTATGATGTGGAAACTTTAGCTAATTGTTTTGTTAATTGTTTTGGCGGGAATTTTTAGTTAATTTTAGCTATTATTAGCTGAGTTTTGGTTGGTTAGTGGAATGATGACGTGTAATCCACTATAAGAGTCATGTAATAATTGTGAGTTAGTTATGCAATTTATAACAAACTCGCTTCTTCCTCAAATTCTCTCTCTAATTTCTCTCACTAAATCCATTTTTCCGCTATTAGAGGAGCTTCAAGCTTCCTCCCTTATCAGTTGAACATTTGAGCTTAAGTTTTCGGTCACCATGAAGGAAAGACACTCGCTGGACTCGCGAGTCTCATTAATAGTCATACTACCTCATGAAAACTCAAATCATTTGGAAAATTTTCAAAAGGTGTGACACTATAGATATTCTGGAGCCTGTATAAGAAGGAGCAACCAAAAGGATGAGCAAATCTTCTAGAACTGCATCTTTTGGGATTACTACACTGGTAAATCAGCATGCACAACAATACTTGAGAATACCTTTCCATGTATAACTAATTCAAATCTAATGGGATTTGAAAAACTTTCCTTGGAAGCTTTGTTTAGAGCAGTCGAAAACTAATTTTTGGCCTTGTGTGTGTTCTCTGTGGCCAAGCCCTCTAGTCTTCAAAACATCTGTTCAGGAACTTTGAATGGCCTTTAAAAGTGTGGCTGGCATTGTCGTTGTGGATTAATTCTCGGCCAAAATATCCCATTCAAATTGATCATTGGAACAAATCTTAGATCAACCTTCTCTCAAAGGATGACAAGACTGTCAACTTACTATTGTGTTATTTGCAGGATTGTAGGTGATTTGGAAACATAAAAACAATGTGATTTCTCAAGGCGAAGACCCTGAGACTAGCAATTTCGTCTCTTAGGTGCAAGTGTGGGTTTGTATCAGCCAGGAATTGGTGAATTATAGCTTAACGTGTTCCCAACACAGGAGCATTCCACCTACAAGTAACCGCAATCAGGTTGCCTCAGACAGGATAGCAAAGATATTCCTGCCTGGCGGCTAATATTGATGGTGCTTGGAAACAATCTAATTAAAACGAATAAATATAAATTCTATGCAGGGATAGGGGAGACCGCCATAAGAGTCATAGAAAAATTCGTCATTAACATGGTTAGCATGCCAATTAGATGCTAGTCACTAGTCAGCAACAGATTTGAAATAAGAGGCGTATGACTGCTAAAATACCGTCTATCTAATTCTATGCAATACCTCAGTAATGTAAGAAACACATCAGTACCTATGCAATGCCTTTTGAATGATATTTTAATACAGGACAGTAGTTTCCAATTACATAATTTCAAATATTCAATGATGTTCTAGACATACTAATGCCCATAATCTTACTAACTATATTTTCTTCATAACGATGTTAACTGGATTGCTCAATTTCCAGAATGCACAAAACCAATCTTGGTGTCAAAAGAGTGATCAATCTACTAATCACCCAACAGCAATGCTCTAAGAATAGCTTCAGCCTTCCCTTCTGCTAAGGGAAACACATGCCCTGCCCCTGCCAACTCATGGTACTTGATCCATGGAAGTCTTTGGGCAATATATCTTTGCAATGTGACCGGTACAAGGGTATCCTCGTCACCCTGCCATAGATGCACCAATCCTCGCTTGCTTTCAAAGGGGTTCGTGAGGTTCATTGGACTAAATTCCCAGTTTCCAAATCCAATCATCATGTCTCGATGAAGTGACTCGAATTCTCCTTGTTGTTTCGTTTGTTCCTGTAAAAAAATCCACACATCCATGGAATATCAATTAGTATCCCTGAAATTCAGACAAAAAATATTTAATACATGCATCAGTATTTATTTTCATCTTTTAAGAGTTTTCTTTAACAAATTTAGGAAATTACTACTTGTTAGTCTTTCAAAATAGACTTTGAAAATATAAGCTCATTATTCTTGACCATAAATGACACAATTATGATTTGAACAAAAAGATAAGTTGGCCTATGAACTAGTTTGAATAGTATTTAGTTTATAGCTTTCCCTATCTACAGAAGTCCCAAGAAAAATATCATAGTTGAGACTGATTTAGATATTATAGGTTTATTAGCAATGGCAGATTGGAGAATTGTCAGGCCATATTATGTATAGAATCCAGTAAAAACATAAGATTTACAATGTTAGAACAAAACTAATATATTAAGATAACTAACCTTGTGATTAGTACCGTCAGAGAATGTGATCTTTGAAAAGATTTCATAATCCTGTCGACTGAATACAATTTTCCCAGCAGCAACACTAGAAGCAGGAAAGAGCTTTTGTGTGTTCCACCAGTAAGTAAGCCAAGGAAAGTAGTGAACAACCCTTACAGTCCATTGGTCCTGTGGCAGCTGCTGTCGAAAGGCTTCATGAGATAAGCTCTCAGGGAATCCACTCCACCAGTAATTTACAACTGGTGCTAACAGTGCTGCTCCTGCAAGCCTGCAACAACATGCCCATGAAGAATTCCATGAAATTTTTACCTTCAATATTCCGTATGAACTTACATCATTATGTATATATTTCATTATACTAGTATATATAACAAATTGTTTGCTCATTGAATACAAATTATGTGATTATCATGTGGGTTATAGTCTTTCTGTATGCATAGATTGCATGCATCATCCTTACCTATTTTCATTTACCTTGTAATCATTTTATTATTATTCATTCTTCTAAAAAATGGTAATAAAAAGTCTGTTCATAAAAAGAACCATACTGTGTGGCTGATGTTAATATAAAGTAACTGGCAGTACCTGTGGGGAATGAACTCGAGGGAACCCCAGACTGATTGGCCGCCCATGGAAAATCCAACCAAATAAATTTTATCCCCGAGCTTTAACTGGTCAGCGAGCTCTTCAATATCCAAAGCCATGCTTTTAATTGTTCTCTTCGGATCAGGATCACTCTCTCCATAGCCTGCCCTATCAAATGACACTATATACAATCCCAACTCTTGGACGACTTCCAGTGATAAGGGGACAAAATTAAAAATGAAGCTTACAGTTAATTTTTATTTCAGATCACAAAAAGGATATAGCATTGTTCCTCTAATTGTATAAGGGACATTTTATTGTTAATTTCTAAAACTTAGTCTACGAAAGTGTAACTAATACGTGTTTATTAATGTTCACTAGATATCATACTGAAATTTATATGCAGGAAAAACAGAATATGATATGTCTTGAGGTGCAAGAGCCGATAGATTTGAGCTCACCATCCACAAAAGCCTGAATTTTAGTTCTGAGTAGAAGCAAATAACTATAGAAATAGCAAAATACAATTGCATCCTTAATAAGAATGGAAACTATAGAATTACCTGAGGAAGATTAGATGACAAAATACAATTGCATCCTTAATAATAATGACATCATGTCTAGAATTGGCAAAACCATGAACATATACAATCTTAAACTTGGCATTCTCCTTTGGTACACCAAACTCTTTGTAGGCCAAATGTCTACCATCCCTCAGCTTCACCCTTGGTGGTGTTACGGGTGGTCCACCAGGTTGCCCACATATTCGTGGTGGTGGAGGCAGGGTTGACTGACATATAAATGTCACTGCAATGGAGATCACTAGGATCACTCCAACACTCTTCAAAATGCATTAGAAAACGTTTCGAATAATAAGTTTGGACACACACTTAGTCTCTAGTTAAAGACGTTCGGCCATATTATAAATATTTTAGCATTATACACAAAATTCGTTCATCTTTTATGACCACAGGATCATATAATGCCAAATATAAGTATAAGCTTAGATTAGCCCCAAAAAAATGGATGGAAAAATGATTAACTATACCATTAATTAAAAAACTTAGTAGATAAGAAAAAAAGAAGATTACCTTATGTATGATATATTTAAAGCTTCAAAGATAAAAAATTTAAACGAGGACTTGGAACTTGATTGTAAATTTGTTGTGATAGATAGTAGAATAGAGCAAATAGAGGTATATGAGAAAGAAAGAAAGTCAACACCAAACTTCAAATTTATAGATGAAGGCCTCGTGGGGTGGGTGTACCACTGCACCAGTATCTTACGTGCTCACATGTAACGACGGATCCGGATACATTCTTTTCTAAATACTTTTGGAGTTACATGTGACTTGTCTGATGTATAATTAGATTCCTCTATTCTTTTATTAGATTCTTATTTCTAACATTTATTATTCTTTACGTAATAGAGAGAAGTAGAAATTTAATTAAGGAACGGAGGGAATATTTAACTATCTATTACCCTGGTGAGGGGTGATTAAGGTTGTGTTTGGTAAACATCTATTTGAGGAAAATTAGCTTATTTTACCAACAAATAGCTTATTGACTATTAAATAAATTAATTCAAGGTGTTTGGTTTATTCCACTTCAGCCTATAAAAAACTAACACGACACAATAACCCGACACGAAATAAGGGGGTTTGGGTAAAAAATTCTCGACCCGTTTACATAATTGGGTTGACACTAACACGACACGAAATTATACGGGTTAGGTTTAGGTTGAAATTTTTAACCCGAAACTGACACGCATAACCCGATTATATAAATGGGTTGAACGACAACTCGTCAATCTGAACCCAACATGCTTAATCTATTAATTAATTAGTAAAAAAAATAAGCTGAATTTTTTTATTTAAAACTTATTATTTTGTAAATTACGTTGACTCCATTTATACATTTTGGTAATTTTTTGGCAGATAATTTGGCAAAAAGTTTTAAACCCTTGTGGTATATTTTTTTTGAAACACTAGCTTGAAATTGTTGTAGTATCTTTAATGAATTAATGATGTCAAACTTTTTTATTTTTGAGTTGAATATTAATTAATTTATTACAATATGTGGGTAAAAAGTTACACAGGTAACCCGTTTAATAAACGAGTTAGGTTTCGGTCAAGGATTTTTCAACTCGTTTAATATCGACACGACACGTCCCGTTTGACAACCCTAAATTTCCACTAAATAAGCTTTTTTAAAAAGCTCCTTTTAGATGTTTTTTTCAATTAGCTTATTCATTAATATATGGTGAAACGACACTTATATCCCCATTTAATTTAAAATCTTACCTAAACTATACTCATCCCACAATTAGCTTATTGACCATTTCACATACTCAAACAACTTTAAACTATCAGCTATTTACAAAACACTTTTATACAATAAGCTAATAAAATAAGTTAGTCAAATCAATTAATACAATCAGCTACTCAAAATTAACTTCAGCTTTAAGCTATTCACCAAACACGGCCTATAAAAAAATCTTACAACTTTATTAGATTGTTACCGTTTATATAATGCCTTTGTTTTTTTAATTTTAAATTACAACATTTACCTTCTTAACTTTATTTTTAAATTACAAGACTTTCTTAAACGGAAATACTCTTCAATTTACTTTTTTTTTTTTTTGAAAAAAACATTATATTTCTCTTCTCACAAGGTCTCGACTCATACTCTATTTACACTTCATATTATATCATTGATATATAAAGTCGAATCTCACAACGACCACAAGATAGCGACACTTGACATTCTAATTTAATATCAATTGTCATGCCATCAGAGGGGAGAAGGAAGAAGGGACCTGATGAGGTGAAGGGACCTGATGAGGCGGTAAGGCATGTGCCCTACCAGTGTTTTTAATTTAATTAAAATATAATTCCTAACAAGATCTACACGCAATTAACAACTCTAATTTGATAGCAGGTCTAGTATTTTCCATCTTAGTCCATATACTCACGAGTAAACTTTAGATGTATGTGTGGATGAGTATTGTGATTAATCTTATGCCTTCAGCTTTATATGCATTTGATTGTCTGTTTAGCCTTTTCAATTGCTAATCTTATATTCCTACATAATCTATAATCATGTTTATTAGTGGCGGAACCACCTTGTGTCTTGGTAGAGCATGTGCCATGGTCCATACCAGGAAAAAAATAGTTAAAATTTGTTTAAATAGGATACAAAGTGCATTAAATAATACCTTTTTTGATAATCAATCAAAGTTCATGGGTTCTAATCTCTTATCCAACATTTATTTTTTAATTTATCTCTTTTTTTTTTTTTTTTTTTTTTTTTTTTTTTGAATAAAATTTATCTCTATGTTTATTCTTCTTTAATGCCCCCCCTTTTTTTTTCGCTAAAAGTGATATTTATCCATTATCCCAAATAATACTTTTACTTATCATGAAAGACCTCATCGAGCAAGTTTACCTTCTTCTTCTTCTTTTTTTTTTTTTTTTTTTTTTTTTTTTTTTTTTTTTTTTGTTTGTGAAAAAAATTACTCTTCTATTTAAGATAATAAAATTGATGATGCAATAATATGCTACTAAAACTTGAAGAGTCGTCAAGTTTAATTGTAATATTCCGTCTTACATGTATGAGTACACCTGAATTATTTAGTTATAAATCCTTATAATTGATATTTTAAATGATGCTATTTGATATGAATTATCTTTCAAGTGATTCCGAATCTATTATAAATTTTTTAAAAACATTTACGGGGTCATTGCTTAAAGCCTTGAGTAGATATTTGATGTATTTTTGAATAATAAAGAGTTAACAAATACAATTGCTAAGTTATTCTGAATCTTGATGTTAAGAACTTTTTTTCACAATTGCTATGCTACATGTAAATATGTCTTATTTGTTTTTTGTAAAAGATTTTAAGGCCTTGATAGAAGGCAAGGGTTTGATTGTAACAATATAAAGTAATAATGATACTGTTGATAACTTTAAATTTCCCCCGTATTGTTACTTGTTAATTTTGTGCTCACTTCTGGTTCTTTTTAATAGTAATTAGGTGGTTCATATTTTGTTCTATTACAGTTAATTAATAGATCAATGAGATTTCTTATGTAATGGTAGTCTATGTAAATTGGTTATCCTTTTTATTTTTTTTACATTATATTATGTGTGATTATATTGGATTCAATTTGACGCGGGTGCATGGAACTTAGTGGAAGAAGTGGAATACATGCCACGTGTCGTGACACGAAGTCGGGCCAAGCTCCTTGGTGGTCACCTTTCGGGGCTAACCATCATCACACTTGAAGACAAGAAGCTTATCAATATATGATGCAACTACTTTATTCAGCCATATCTCCTTCGTTACAAGAAATTTTTAGGTGATTCAAGTTAGAGGTGAAAGTAGAGTTCAAGAGCTTTCCAACGACTGGTCACATGCCAAATTTGAGCAAGAAACGAAGAAGTTATGAATGTTTGAAGTTGAGCAGTCCAGGAGCAGGGGAGTTCGACCGAACCAAAGCTGGTTCGCCTAAACTTCTAGGCAGTTTCAGACCTGATTTTTGCATCTTTGCAGGAGTGGTCGAACTCCAAAAGTTCGACTGAACATACCACAAGTTCGACCGAACTTACCCTAAGTTTGGCCGAACCTTTTCCCGTTTTTTTTTTTCAGTTTATGCTCACTATTTAAGTTGTTTTTAAGACGTTTTGCAAGATTTTTTAATGTTGAACTTTGCTTGATTTTGTAATCAAAGAGACTTTCTCTCTCTACCATAATCTTTGTGATTATCTTGCTTTCTTTGTGATTGCTACCTTGTAATCTTTGTGGTTACACCTTAATCCTAGCTTTACTTGGTGTTGGCTTTGATTAATTAAGACCCCTATTTCATTTATCTTTGTGATTTTGAGATAGTTTATCCTTATTTGTTGATTGAACTTGTTGTTACTTGATTTCTCCTCCCTTTTTCTTGAGTTTTCTTGTTTATTTCATATCATTTGGTATCAAGAGCTTGGGTTATTAGCCTAGAAAGATCCTACCTTTTTGAATTTCTCTTTCCCCCTCTCAAAAGATCTCATCTTTTCCCACAAAAATTTAAAATTTCTCTAAAAAATACAAGCTTTCTTTCTTGAAACATGGTTGATAGATACTATTATGAAGATGATGAAGGTTACAATGAAAACTCTAGATTGGATGCTATAGAAAGGAAGTTTGATAGACTTCTTGAGGTCTTGGAGAATAAAAGGAGTCCTAGAAGGAGGAGGATCCCTAGTGAAGAAGATGACTCTCACTCTCCTCGCCGAGAAGGGAATACTGCCAATGACACCATGAGGACAATCGTGACCGAGACATCAAGTTGGAATTTCCGGACTTTGAACGTAATCTTGATCCTAATGAATTTCTTGATTGGGTTAGGAGTATGGAGAATGTGTTTGAATATAAGGGTTATAATGATGAAAAATGTTTCAAATTGGCCATCCTTAAACTCAAAAAACATGCTTCTTTGTGGTATGAGAACTTAAAGAACCGTAGGAAGAAAGATGGAAAATCAAAAATCAATTCTTGGGAGAAATTGAAGAAACATATGAACAAGGCCTTTGTGCCTAAAGTTTATTTGCAAGATGCTTATCTTAAATTGAACTCTCTTAAGCAAGGAACTATGTCAGTAGAGAAGTATACAAGGGAGTTTGAGAAACTTTCTATCATGAGTGGAATTGAAGAAGCACCGGAGCATAAGATTGCTAGGTATATTGGTGATCTTGAAAGAAAGCTTGGGCAAAATGTTGATGTGCATGCCCATGAAAGTTTTGATCAAGTGGTGTAAAAAGCTTTGAAGTTTGAGAAGTATGACAAGGTGAGTAGTGCTAGTGGGTATACTAAGCCTACCTTTAAGAGTTCTTTTGCTCCAAAAAAGGGGAGACAAGCAAGCCCATTGCCAAGGATGACAAAGGAAAGGCTCCCATGCTCTCTTCTAGCAAAGATGATCACAACAAGATGAGCAATCCGAAGACTTGCTACAAGTGTAGGGGTTATGGACATTTTGCTAATGAGTGTCCAAATAGTAGAGCTATGATTCGTGAAATGGATGATGATGATTACGAAGATGAGAAGAGGGATTTCGGAGACCCTACATATGATGAAGAGGATGAGATTCTAGTTGAAGCCGATGAGGGTCAAATCCTTGTTGTGAGGAGGGCACTTCACTCCATTTCTACCCCTTTGGCGGAAGAGCAAAGGGAAAACATCTTCCAAACTCGTTGCACCATCAAGGATCGAGTTTGCAACCTTATCATTGATAGTGGCTCTTGCACTAATGTGGCTTCAACAACATTGGTGAGCAAGCTCAATCTTGAAACTACCAATCATCCTACTCCCTACAAGCTTCAATGGCTTAACAATCACAATCAGGAGAAGGTAACGAAACAAACTCTTCTTTCTTTCTCAATTGGCAAGCTATATAAGGATGAGGTACTTTGTGATGTACTGCCTATGGATGCTTGTCATGTATTGCTTGGAAGAACTTGGCAATTTTATAGAGATGTAATGCATGATGGAATAAAGAACACTTATTCATTCATGATGGATAAGAAGAAGATTGTACTCAACCCCTTGTCCCCCACCATCAAACATAAAGAACCCTTGGATACGGGAAACACAATAAAAGAGAACCTTCTCATTGGGGAAAATGAGATGGGAAAGGAGATAAATCAAGGACACCTTGTCTTTATTTTTCTTCTTAGGGAAGCACAAGAGAGTGAGCGAGAGAACCCAATCCACCCCCTTGTCAAGGAAGTATTGGTTGAGTACCATGATATTTTTTCTCGATGATCTCCCCCCCGGTTTGCCACCTATTAGGGGAATTAAACATCAAATCGATCTTATTCTCGGATCACAACTCCCTAATAGACCGGCTTATAGGTGTACCCCCGATGAAGCAAGAGAGCTTCAAAGACAAGTTGGTGAGTTGATTGAAAGAGGATTTGTGAGGGAATCCCTTAGCCCTTGTTCGGTTTCGGCTCTTTTGGTTCCTAAAAAGGATGGTACATGGAGGATGTGTGTGGATAGTAGGGCCATCAATAACATCACCATCAAGCATCACTTCCCTATTCCCCGACTTGATGATATGCTTGATGAGTTGTATGGTTCCAAGGTTTTTTCGAAGATTGACTTGAGGATAGGGTACCATCAAATTCGCATACGTGAAGGAGATGAGTGGAAGACCGCTTTCAAAACCAAGAAAGGCTTGTATGAGTGGCTATTATGCCATTTGGGCTCTCTAATGCTCCTAGCACTTTCATGAGGCTCATGAATGAGGTACTTGACCCCTTCATTGGTAAATTTGTTGTTGTTTATTTTGAAGACATACTCATTTATAGAAAATGTGAACTTGATCATGTTAAACTTTTGAGGCAATTATTTGAAATATTGAGAAGTAGGCGGCTTTTTGCCGCCAAGTTGGAAAAGTGTACTTTTATGGTGGATATTATTGTTTTTCTTGGCTATGTGATTTTGAATGTAGGGATCTCAATGGACCCTAGTAAAGTGGAGGCCATTCAATCTTGGCCTACTCCTACTACTCTCACTCAAGTTAGGAGTTTCCATGGACTAGCTTCCTTCTATCGAAGGTTTGTGAAGAATTTTAGCACTATTTTGGCCCCGGTGACCGAATGCATGAAGAAGGGTACTTTTAAGTGGACACCATAGGCTCAATGGGATTTTGAGACCATCAAGAATAAATTGGGTGAGGCTCCAATCTTAGCTCTTCCGAATTTTGATCAACCATTTGAAGTTGAATGTGATGCTAGTGGGGTTGGAGTTGGAGCGGTTTTTGTGCAAGGAGGGAGGCCGGTTGCCTATTTTAGTGAGAATCTTGGTGGAGCAAGAATGAGGTATAGTACCTATGACAAGGAGTTCTATGCTATGGTGAGGTCTCTTGATCATTGGTCACATTACTTGAGGCCTAGACCATTTGTTCTACACTCCGATCATAAATCTCTCAAGTACATCAATGGTTCTCATAAACTCAATGCAAGGCATGCCAAATGGGTTGAATTCCTCCAATCATTCACTTTCTCTTCTAAGTACAAGGAAGGGGAGAGCAATGTTGTTGCCGATGCTCTTTCTAAGAGACATTATATGATCACTATTCTTGATGCAAAGTTTTTAGGGTTTGAGTTTCTAAAAGAGTTGTATCGCGATGATGAGGATTTTGGTGGGTAGATGAAGAAGTCTGAGGAAGGGGTCGATGGCTCTTTCATGGTGCAAGAGGGTTTCCTTTTCAAAGGAAACAAGCTTTGTGTTCCGAAATTCTCTCATCGACAGTTTCTTGTTAAGGAAGCTCATCAAGGAGGACTAGCCGGACACTTTGGGGTTGCAAAAACATATGACATTCTTCGAGAGTACTTTTATTGGCCCAAGATGTTTAGTGATGTGCAAGATGTGATAGCTCGTTGTGGGGCTTGTCACAAGGCTAAGAGTCAATTCTGTGAAGGACTCTACTCTCCTCTTCCGGTCCCTAGTCACCCTTGGGATGATCTTAGTATGGATTTTGTGGTTGCTCTCCCTCGCACTCAAAGGCAAAATGATTCCGTGTTTGTTGTGGTTGATCGTTTTAGCAAGATGGCTCACTTCATTCCTTGCCACAAGACCGATGACGCTTCTCATGTGGCTACCTTGTTCTTTAGAGAAGTGATGAAGCTTCATGGCATTCCAAAAAATATTGTGTCGGACCGTGATTCTAAGTTCTTGAGCTACTTTTGGAAGACTTTGTGGAAGTTAGTGGGAACCAAGCTCTTGTTTGGTACCTCTAGTCACCCTCAAACCGATGGCCAAACCGAGGTGACTAATCGTACCATGTCCACCGTTCTCCGAGCTATCATTAGCAAACACATGAAAGATTGGGATCTTAAGCTACCTCAAGTTGAATTTGCTTACAACTGCTCTCATTGCATAGCTATCGGGAAAACACCATTTGAAGTAGTGTATGGTTTCAATCCCCGCCTACCACTTGACTTGTTGCCTAGTATCCCTCAAGAGGAGTTGAGCTTTGAGGCAAAATATAGAGTTGAAACGATGTCAAGAAGAGAATTGAGAAGGCGAATGAGAGTTACAAGGAAAGGGCAAACAAATTCAAGAAGCTAAGGGAATTCAATGTAGGTGATCTTGTGTGGCTCCATATTCGGAAGGAAAGATTCCTTGCTAAGAGAAAGAACAAGCTCATGCCAAGATCCGAAGGCCCCTTTGAAGCTGTGGAGAGAGTTGGACCTAATGCTTACAAGCTCAAACTACCGGGAGACTTTGGTGTTCATGCTACCTGTAATGTTGGTGATCTTGCTCCTTTTCTCTTTGAAGATAATATTGGTGATGATGATCCGGAATTGAGGGCAATTCCTTTTGAAGAGGAGGGGTTTGACGTGGGTGCATGGAACTTAGTGGAATAAGTGGAATACGTGTCACGTGTCGTGACACGAAGTCGGGCCAAGCTCCTTGGAGGTCACCTTTCGGGGCTAACCATCATCACACTTGAAGACAAGAAGCTTATCAATATATGATGCAACTACTTCATTCAGCAATATCTCCTTTGTTACAAGGAATTTTTAGGTGATTGAAGTTGGACGTGAAAGTAGAGTTCAAGAGCTTTCCAACGACTGGTCACATGCCAAATTTGAGCAAGAAACGAAGAAGTTATGAACGTTTGAAGTTGAGCAGTCTAGGAGCAGGGGAGTTCGACCGAACCAAAGATGGTTCGCCCGAACTTCCAGGCAGTTTCAGACCTGATTTTTGCATCTTTGCAGGAGTGGCCGAACTCTAAAAGTTCGAACGAACCTACCCACAAGTTTGACCGAACTTACCTTAAGTTTGGCCGAACCTTTTCCCGTTTTTTTTTTTCAGTTTATGCGCACTATTTAAGTTGTTTTTAAGACGTTTTGCAAGATTTTTTAATGTTGAACTATGCTTGATTTTGTAATCAAAGAGACTTTCTCTATCTACCATAATCTTTGTGATTATCTTGCTTTCTTTGTGATTGCTACCTTGTAATCTTTGTGGTTACACCTTAATCCTAGCTTTACTTGGTGTTGGCTTTGATTAAGACCCCTATTTCATTTATCTTTGTGATTTTGAGATAGGTTTATCCTTATTTGTTGATTGAACTTGTTGTTACTTGATTTCTCCTCCCTTTTTTCTTGAGTTTTCTTGGTTATTTCATATCACAATTAGTAGTAGTCGATGCCTCGGTCACATAAGCAATTATTAAAATCCTAGCTCTGCCATTGCACGTCATATATGCGACAATTAAGCATAAACATGAAATGTTACAAGTCATGTAATTTAAGCAATATCAAATAGATTTTTAGGATACAAAAATTATTTTGAAATTTTATGTTTGATAAACTTTTAAACTTTTTTTTTTTTTTAAACACAAGCTGAAAATATTATATTAACAGGCTAAAGCCATAGTTTTAATTACAACTAACACCACATTATTTGTACAAGGAAAATGGATTCTAACCAAAATAATGCCTAATACCAAGGCTAAAACTACTAAACCGCTGTACATAACCCCTAGTAAAACATCCCTATTAAACCGATATTCCCCAAAAGCTAATACCATCCAAAGCAAAACAGAGAACAAGCTACATAGACATAGCAGCAGTGACCTCATTAGCAGCAACAGAACTTGCAGCAGCAGCAGCATTAACTTGAACAAGGTCAGATTCATATATGGCACGCACACATTCTAGGACTAAGTAGTGTGTCTTGTAACAAACTGCCATTTCCTTCCTATAGATAACCAACTTGTGAGCTAAAATATTCTTCTCCATAGGTACATGGGAGATTAAAAGCAACCTCAAAACGTTTTAGATTAGCTGCCACATCACATACAGCAGCAGCCAACTCATGATGTGGATTAGGGCCTGTTGTAAGAAGCATAGTCCTCAAGGATTCTGCGTCAGTCTCTATCTCCACCTTCTTCATCCTTAGATTATCCGCAATAGATAATTTATCATTTAAAGCATAGAGCTCAGTAGCTAGAGGAGACACAGCCGCATACTTGCAAGAAAAGCCCACACACCAAGTACTATCAGCTCTTCTCAGAACACCTCCACCGAATAAACTTTTAAACTTTCACACAAGTAACTAGACGTAAGTCCATGCGATGCGATGTTATGCATAGTTTAAGTTATTATGATTTGTTCATTTACTTATTATGATCAGCGGACCACTATTCTTCTTTTTTAATCACAATAGTTGAGTTTATAAAATCTTATGATCTATCATAGTGGTCCACAGAACACTTTTATTTATTAGATTTTAAAATTACGTTTATACTTTCTATTGTTTTTAAGAAAACCAAACCATGGAAATAAATAGAAGGCCAAAAAAATTTATAATTTTATAATCATATCATGTCATGTCATCATATAAATTAATCCTTTTCTAGATAGTAATTTTTTTTATTGCTTCAAATAGGTTGGGTTACTGTAATTGTAGACACCTAAAAATATCTCCCCAAAACCAAACCCGTTGATGAACACCTTTCACCGACATTATTGGTCGAGTTGAGTATTTAATCTTTGGAGTGCTTAAATCCATGTTCTATCCAATATATTTCATGAACCAATCCAATTTCTAGCTCATTTCCCTAAACCATAACCTATTTTCCACTTTTCGTGTCCACATCGCAAAACTGAGTGAAAATGATTTTATGGCTATACAATTTTGATCCAATTATTTTTTTGTTGGATAGGAATTTAAATAAGCTTTTCAACCATATATCATAAGCCCAATTCCGAGATATAACGAAAAAGTATGAGCAAAACACTAAACTCGGCCTAAAAACAGCACCTATCCACTAAAACGGCCATATCTTAAAATATAAATATCATTTTGAATTTATTCTAATTTGATTAGAAAGTATACTTGATAAGCTTTCCAATGATATATTATATGCCTTATTCTGAGATACGGATCAAAAGTTATGATTATTTCAAAATTGGGTAAAAAACTAAAATTACCGCGCAGCAGCAAACATAGCTCGACGCGGCAAAAGCTGACGTGTCACGGGGCTTATTCCCGTGACAGGATGCCCAATTTTGTAATTCTGCACAATTTTCTCCTGTGTCACGGGATTTTGCAATGTGTCATGGTGCAATTTCCGTGACACGGGGATATTTCGTGTAATTTCCTCGTACTTTTTACACCGTGACACGGCATACTGCACTGTGCCACGGTGGACAATTCCGTGTCATGGAATTTCTTCCCGTGACACGGTGCACATCCTGTGGCACGGGATTGCTCCGTGTTTTCTCCGCGTAATCCCTAAACGCGTTTTCACTTCCCGTAACCTAATTATTTCCCGCGTCACTCAGTTTTTCCCCGTGTCACGGGATCTTCCCTTATCTGACGGTGCCTGTCACCGTGTCACGGTGCTCTTTGCCGTGACATGGTATTATTTTTTAGGGTTTTTATCTTTTTAGGGTTCCGCGTGTTCCCTCTGCTCATTTTCCTTATAAATAGGACCCCCCTTGCTGCAGTTCGGGGCACCAATAATCATTCTCTCTCATCTTACACCAAATATCATTCTCTTCTCCCTCTTTAACCTAATTTCTAGCCTCCTTATTATTCCATAATAATTCCCCTAAGCACTCCAAGGAGTCTATACTTAACCCGAGGTTCCGTCCTTAAACCAAGGCGTGAAAGGTATAAATAACTGAGGGTTTTGGACCAAATCAACTCTACTTTTAATTTAATTTAATTTTCCATTTACTTTATATTTTTATTGAAATTACTAACAATTTATTCATGATGTAGCAATTTAAAGGAACGCGCGGAATGTGAGTAATTAATTAATTTAATTACTCTTATTTTATTTTAATATTGCTAGTATCATGATTAGGTTATTTTACATTTGATTTGACTAACAACTTATTGTTAAATTGCTTCCAATATTAATGTTTATTCTATTATTTTTTTGATCACCATATTGCATGTTTAAAGGGAATATGTAATTGAAAATCACGCCTAATAAGATAATTTGGACAACCGGTTTAGGTTCCTTTTTTAATCTTGTTGTTAATTCAAGTGGTCACAATATTTTAGAATTATGTGTTGCATTAATATTCAACCAATTTAGCATAATAATAGTTTGCAGCGAATTGAATACTTTGTTTGCATGTCTTTGAGATTGCAGGAATCACTTTTCATTATAAGAATCGAGT